CCCCCGAGGAGTTCTAGATGCTTCCAGTTTTTGGCGGTGTCCTTCAAACCCTCAACCCTAAACCCTAAACCCTAAACCCCAAGCCCTAAGCCCTAAGCCCTAAGCCCTAAGACCTAAACCCTCAGCCTTAAGCCCTAAGCCCTAAGCCCTGAGCCCTAAGCCCTAAGCCCTAAGCCCTAAGCCCTAAGCCCTAAGCCCTAAGCCCTAAGCCCTAAACCTCCACTGTTGTTCCAACAAGCCCCGAGTCGAACTTGCGGTTGAGGCTTCCCCCTCTGGGGTCAGGCCCCGGGGACCCCGGAAATCAGGCCTCTAAAGAGAGATGCCAAGCTTGCGAAGCCCTACACCCTCAGGCCTAAACCCTAAACCCTAAACCCTAAACCCTAAACCCTAAACCCTAAACCCTAAACCCTAAACCCTAAACCCTAAACCCTAAACCCTAAACCCTAAACCCTAAACCCGTGAAAAACCCTGTCCTCCTCAGACTCCAGGCCCCAAAATCCCTACATCGCAGTCCCATCACAGAGAGCCCCCTGGTTCTAAGTAGGTTTAGAAGGCCCCCGGAGTTAAAGAGAGATGTATATATTAACTGAGTTGAGTTGTGTCTGTATATATATATATGGTACCCCCCCCCAAAGATCTAGGTATTTTCCTGGTTTTGGGATCTGTTTTAGGGTTTTAGGGTTGGGGGTGGGGGGCTAGCTAAACATGGAAATCTCAATATGGACATGTAAATCTTGATATGTGCGAGTCTTCATATGTGCGTGGTCGCATTTTCAAATTGTGAGCCCGATTGAAAACGATTGAAACGATTGAAATTCAATCGGGGGCCCGATTGAAAAACGATTGAAACGATTGAAATTCAATCGGAGACCGGATTGAAGATTGAAGATTGAAGATTCCCGGAAAGCTTTTTTCTGGGAATCTTCAATCTTCAATCTTCAATCCGGCCCCCGATTGAATTTCAATCGTTTCAATCGTTTTTCAATCGGGCCCCCGATTGAATTTCAATCGTTTCAATCGTTTTTCAATCGGGTTCACGTCTTGTAAAGTGTCAGAATTAGCTTTCGTGACGTCGCTCAAGATCACGTGTCTTCGCAGACATTCCACTCGAAATATACTTGACCATTTGTGTTTGTAATACTCGCAATGGCTCGCATCCCAGTGGCTGGCTCAGTCTTATGGTTTTTATTGGTTTTTGCGGTGTTTCGGGAGCGTGGGTCCCACGCTAAAAATCGGTTTTACCGATGTTTTTGAAAGCCTACCTTCAAAATAACATCGGTAAAACCAATGTTTTTGAAAGCCTACCTTCAAAAAACATAGGTAAAACCAATGTTATTGAAGGCCTACCTCTAAAAAAACATCAGTAAAACCGATGTTTCGTGAGCCCATGCTCCCAAAACATCGCAAAAAAAACAATTAAAAAAACATGTCAAAAACCATGATTTTCGAAACTAGTGGCTGGGGTGGCCGGCCGAGTAGTTTCAGAAACCATAGTTTTTATGTTTCTTATTGGTTTTTGCGGTGTTTCGGGATCGTGGGCTAAACCTTTAAGCCCTGTAGGCTATACGGTTAAGGTTTAAAGGTTTAGGGTTGAAAAGTTCAACAGTCAGCCCATAGAGTTTAAACCTTAAGGGTCCTAAACGCTTAACCTTTAAACCCTATAGGCCATAGGGTTAAGGTTGAAAGGCTTAGGGTTTAAGATTTTGGCATTAAAACACAAGCCCATAGAGCTTAAGCCTTAAGGGTTTAAGGTTTCAGCATTGAAACGATAACCCTAAGCCCTTTAGGGTCAGAACCTTGAAGCCCTGTAGGGCTCTAAAACGTTAACAGGGTTTAACCCTATAGGCGTTGAATGTATAAATGCCCAGACATTACGCTCTCTTTAACCTTTCAGCCCTATAGGGTCTAAAGGCTTAGGGTATTTCTTAAGCCCTGAGGGTGTAAAACCTTAAGCCCTCAAGGTGGGCTTGGGTTTAAATGCCTAAATCTTGAACCCTAAACCTTTAAACCTTAACCCTATAGCCTATAGGGTTTAAAGGTTAAGCGTTTAGGCCCCTTAGGGTCTGAACTCTATAGGCTTACTTTTAAAACCTAAACCCTTAAACCTTGACCCTATAGCCTATAGGGTCTAAAGGTTAAGCGTTTAGGCCCCTTAAGGTTAAGGGTCCTAAACGCTTAACCTTTAAACCCTATAGGCCATAGGGTTAAGGTTGAAAGGCTTAGGGTTTAAGATTTTGGCATTAAAACACAAGCCCATAGAGCTTAAACCTTAAGGGGGGTCCAAAGGCTTAGGGTATTTCTTAAGCCCTGAGGGTTTAAAACCTTAAACCCTTAAGGTGGGCTTGGGTTTAAATGCCTAAATCTTGAATCCTAAACCTTTAAACCTTAACCCTATAGCCTATAGGGTTTAAAGGTTAAGCGTTTAGGCCCCTTAGGGTCTGAACTCTATAGGCTTACTTTTTAAACCTAAACCCTTAAACCTTGACCCTATAGCCTATAGGGTCTAAAGGTTAAGCGTTTAGGCCCCTTTTGGTTAAGGGTCCTAAACGCTTAACCTTTAAACCCTATAGGCCATAGGGTTAAGGTTGAAAGGCTTAGGGTTTAAGATTTTGGCATTAAAACACAAGCCCATAGAGCTTAAACCTTAAGGGGGGTCCAAAGGCTTAGGGTATTTCTTAAGCCCTGAGGGTTTAAAACCTTAAACCCTTAAGGTGGGCTTGGGTTTAAATGCCTAAATCTTGAATCCTAAACCTTTAAACCTTAACCCTATAGCCTATAGGGTTTAAAGGTTAAGCGTTTAGGCCCCTTAGGGTCTGAACTCTATAGGCTTACTTTTAAAACCTAAACCCTTAAACCTTGACCCTTTTGCCTATAGGGTCTAAAGGTTAAGCGTTTAGGCCCCTTAAGGTTAAGGGTCCTAAACGCTTAACCTTTAAACCCTATAGGCCATAGGGTTAAGGTTGAAAGGCTTAGGGTTTAAGATTTTGGCATTAAAACACAAGCCCATAGAGCTTAAACCTTAAGGGGGGTCCAAAGGCTTAGGGTCTTTCTTAAGCCCTGAGGGTTTAAAACCTTAAACCCTTAAGGTGGGCTTGGGTTTAAATGCCTAAATCTTGAATCCTAAACCTTTAAACCTTAACCCTATAGCCTATAGGGTTTAAAGGTTAAGCGTTTAGGCCCCTTAGGGTCTGAACTCGAGATCTATAGGCTTACTTTTAAAACCTAAACCCTTAAACCTTGACCCTATAGCCTATAGGGTCTAAAGGTTAAGCGTTTAGGCCCCTTAAGGTTAAGGGTCCTAAACGCTTAACCTTTAAACCCTATAGGCCATAGGGTTAAGGTTGAAAGGCTTAGGGTTTAAGATTTTGGCATTAAAACACAAGCCCATAGAGCTTAAACCTTAAGGGGGGTCCAAAGGCTTAGGGTATTTCTTAAGCCCTGAGGGTTTAAAACCCTAAACCCTTAAGGTGGGCTTGGGTTTAAATGCCTAAATCTTGAATCCTAAACCTTTAAACCTTAACCCTATAGCCTATAGGGTTTAAAGGTTAAGCGTTTAGGCCCCTTAGGGTCTGAGCTCTATAGACTTACTTTTAAAACCAAAACCCTTCAACCTTGACCCTATAGCCTATAGGGTCTAAAGGTTAAGCGTTTAGGCCCCTTAAGGCTTTAACTCTATGGGCCTGCTATTGAACTTAAACCCTAAACCATTAAACCTTAGCCCTATAGCCTATAGGGCTTAAAGGTTAAGTGTTTAGGCCCTGTACGCTAAGATTTACACTCGATGGGCTTAGGTTTAAATGCCTAAATCTTAAGGCCTAAACCTTTTAAGCCTTAACCCAAAAGGGTTTTACGGTTAAGGGTTCAGGTTTAAATGGCGGTTAAATCTTCAACTTCACATCGCCTCCGGGCCCATGCAAGTATTCAACTTGATATCGCTAAATCATGAAAATACCTAGATCGTTGGGGGGGGGGTAGCATATATATATATATATATTTATTTATATTTATGTATATATATATATTCTTTTTTTTCACTTCACTGATTTTTCGTCCCTGCCTTCTCATAAGGTCCCCCCCCATTATTTAGGGTAGCCAAGAAAAGGACCATACTTTAGAGAACTCTCTCTCTCTCTCTATACATAATATGTATATGTATACAATATAATATATAATATACTATAATATAAATATAACAAGAAGCAGAATATGAACAATAACAATAATAATAACAAAAATATAATATACTACAATATACTACAATATAATATAATATAATAGAATATAATAAAATATAATATAATATAACATATGCATGTACTTACCTTGACCTAGAACCCCAAAACCCTCTCTGTCAGTTCCCTGAATTCTGGTCTCCAGGCGACTCTCTGAAGAGCCTTTTTGTGGTAAAGCCCATGCCCCCGAAATCCCCAACTCCTGCAGTCTACCCTCCCCTAAACCCTCAAACTCAAACAATCAACCCTAAACAAGAATTAGAAAAATATTTCCAAGTACCCCTAAGTAAACTCATCTAAACCCTAAACCCTAAACCCTAAACCCTAAACCCTGAACCCTAAACCCTAAACCCTAAACCCTAAACCCCTAAATCCTAAACCCCTAAATCCTAAACCCCTAAATCCTAAACCCCTAAACCCTAAACCCTAAACCCTAAACCCCTAAACCCCTAAACCCTAAACCCTAAATCCTAAACCCTAAACCCTAAACCCTAAACCCTAAACCCTAAACCCATCCTGTTGGCCTCCTTTGGTGCCGCAGAGTCCCTGGCAGACCTGCTTTGGGGAGACAGGGCCCAGGTCCCTGAGTGCCCTAGGAGAATGGAAATTAGGGTTTGGGGTTTGGGGTTTAGGGTTTAGGGTTTAGGGTTTAGGGTTTAGGGTTTGGGGTTTGGGGTTTGGGGTTTGGGGTTTAGGGTTTAGGGTTTAGGGTGTAGGGTTCAGGTAGGGCGTTTAGAGGGTTTAGGAGCCAACAGTTTGTTTACATAACTAGAGGGGACGAAAACAGACGGGCTGAATGCACTTCCCTGGATCCCCAGCAACCAAGGCCAAGAGGGGGTGGTTCTTGGTAGGGAATTCGGGTTTAGGGTTTAGGGTTTCGGGTTTAGGGGTAGCTTTGAAATGCTTTTCTGTGTAGGGAATTAGGGAAGACGGTACCTCACGATACTGTACCGTGCTGCCCTTTGAAGGGCCTCTACGAAGGCCAATACCCCTTGGTCTGCACGAAGAACCAGCAAGATGTGGGCGTACTGAAGATTGCAATCCCTAAGGGCGTACTGAAGATTGCAATCCCTAAGCCCTAAACCCTAACGCTTAAGGGGGGACAATGGCCCTACCAGGCACCCAATGGTGTTCATTGAGAGGGCCAGGACAGGTTTGGGGGTTGAGGGGATTTGAAGTATGGGCCCTCAATTTGGGTCCCCTGTTATAACCCTTATATACACTATACATAAATAGTAGGGGCCCATACTTCCGATGTCTTTAAATTCCGATAGTTAAACACGGGTAAGGGACCATGCTAAGGGCCCATGGTTCCAGCCTTAGAAATTGGTGTTGGCATCTGCTTTCAAAAGACAGCCCCTTCCTTTTAAGTTGGTATCTCCTTTAAGGGCTACGGTTTACGAAACTCCTGTTGCCTGGCGACTGCGTTGCTGATGTCGCTGCCCACCTGCGGGTAATCTGCTTAGACTTAGGATGAGCGAGCTTAGGGTTGGGCTTGGCTTTGGGATCGTCGAGCTTGCATGAAAGGCAAGTGTGCTGGTCTCCTTGCAAAGCTGCGCAGTATTCAAAGGTGTGTATATAGATATATTCACATGTACAGCAAGCATGTAAGGCCCTGGTTTTCTCGGTGTTTATCCGAAAAGCCCCGAACCTGAAAGCCTGCCTGGCCCTAACCCCAAACCCCGAACCCTAAACCTCTAAACCCAAAACCCTAACCCTAAACCTTTTTTTGAACCCTTCCTAAACCCTATACAAACCCTAAAGCCCTAAAGCCCTAAACCCCTATAATCCCCAGATCTAGGGGACCAAACCCTAAACCCTAAACCCTAAACCCTAAACCCTAAACCCTAAACCCTAAACCCTAAAAACCCTAAACCCTAAACCCTAACCCCCCCCCCCCCCCCCCAGCCCCCAGCCCAAAGACTGCCTGGAAAGTCGAGACAGCCGTGGTCACTTCGAAGACGCACTGGAAGGCCAGCAGCACCTTGGCATGGGTTTAGGGGTTTAGGTTTAGGGGTTTAGGGGTTTTAGGGGGTTAGGGGGTTAGGGGTTTAGGGGTTAGGGGGTTAGGGGTTTAGGGGTTTAGGGGTTTAGGGGTTTAGGGGTTTAGGGGTTTAGGGGTTTAGGGGTTTAGGGGTTTAGGGGTTTAGGGGTTTAGGGGTTTAGGGTTTAGAAAGGCCTTTGTTGACTTAGTAAGTAGGGTTAGGAAATTGGATTATGGGGGATTAGTAAAGGCTTTCGCTTGGGGTTTCGGGTTTAGGGGTTGAGGAGTCGGGATTCCACGGTTTGGGGTTTAGGGCTAGGATTGCAGACGTTTAGGATTTAGGTTTCGGCTCGGTTTAAGGCTTACTCGGGTGTCTCGGGTTTGGGGGGGGGGGGGGGGGGGGGGGCTTGAGGAGGTCATGTGTAGGGTCTAGGGGGGGCTCCTCCCTGCTAAGAACCGGGGCGTCTGGGACGTTCACAAGGCCTACCGGGCGCATGGGGGCTCCTCTCCCATGGGCGGGTGATGAGCATAAGTATGAGGAGAGATATCCGGATGAAGCTAAAGACAAAGATTGGTACATGTGAGTGTGAGTAACAAGGACTGTACCTGTTGTACAGTGGCTTGCAGTGCGGCCTCTGCTATGGGAGTTTTGTTGCTTCAGCTAGGGCTGGGATCCCAGCAAAGGACTACGCCACCAGACGTTTGAAACATACAAACACACAAACACACAAACACACAAACAAACAAACAAACAAACAAACAAACAAACAAACAAACAAACAAACAAACAAACAAACAAACACACACACACACACACACACACACACATACACATATACATGGGAACAAATACACTGTTACACAGGATAGAACGGGCGTTAGGGTTTGGAACTCAGAAAGGGCTTCGAATTTTGGATTAAGGGTTCAGGGCACAAGTCTTTTTGTTAAGGGTTGTTTAGGGCTTGAACTTATGATTTGAAGGGTTTAGGGCTTAACACGCCCGAAGTTTAGAGTTCAACCCTAAACCCTAAACCCTAAACCCTAAACCCTATACCCTCCTTTTTGCTTTGCCTCCTCGCCGTCTTCTGCACCGAACGAACTGCAGAGTCGCAGCTCGGGGTTCAGCGCCTTCCTCTGCAGCGCGAAGCGACCGGCCTGCATGGTCTTGGCTGGTTCTAGGAGTGTTGGTTTGGGGTTTGGGGTTTGGGGTTTGGGGTTTGGGGTTTAGGGTCTAGGGTCTAGGGTTTAGGGTTCAGGGTTGAGGGTTGAGGGTTGAGAGTTGAGGGTTTAGGGTTTAGAGCTTAGGATTTAGGGTTTAGGGTTTTAAGGGTCTGAGGTTTCATGAGGAATCCGGAAAGAGACCTCCAAACCACGCAACAAGAAGCCGAGCCAGTGTGAGGGTTTAGGGTTTAGGGTTTAGGGATTAGGGTTTCGGGTTTAAGGTTTTGGGCTCGGGGTTTGCGATTTGGGGTTTGGGCTTTGGGCTTTCGGGCTCAGAGGGCTGACAGAAAGCACAGCCTAAACAAGGGGCAAGCACTTGCATGTATCCATGTAGTATATATTTGGGCCCTAAAGCTACTACGTAGTATATGGGAACCCCTTGAAGGCCCAAGTATGCTGTGTATAGGTATACCCGGACCCTTAAGGGTTCAAAGGAGTCCCTAAAACCTAAGCCCTATACCCTAAATTCAAAACCCTAAACCCTAAACCCTAAACCCTAAACCCTAAACCCTAAACCCTAAACCCTAAACCCTAAGGAGTCCTTGGGGTTGAACATGTCCAGGGCGTAGGTCGCGTCGCGCGCCGAAGGGGTCAAGGCGACCACCTCAGCTCAAAGGCTTCGGGGTTTAGGATTTATACGGTTCAAGAGCCTAAACCCTAAACTGTAAACCCTAAACCCTAAACCCTAAACCCTAAACCCTAAACCCTAAACCCTAAACCCTTTAGGGTTTAGGATTCAGGGTTGTCGGTATCAGGGCTCGAGACATCGAACCCCCCCCCAATTGCAGTTCCTTTTTTTCCGGAAGGTGCCTACTTAATGTAGGGGCCTTCCTGGTTAGCTCTTTAGGGTTTAGGGCTACTGTAGGGGCCTTAATAATTAGAATAGGGTTCTGGGGTCATTATAGTATAAATATAAAGGACCATAAGGGAATACTACTAGAAATTAGTCCGACACCCATAGTATTCTTGTTGTGCCTACGTATTCTTGTACCCTATACCTGAAGGCTCTGATGTAGTTCTTTTTTGGGTTAGTCGTACGGGATTCTAGTATACTACCCCAAAAAGGTACTACATAGGAGCCTTTAGCATGACGATTCCGCATTCCTTGATGTGACGAGTAAACCCGGAGGCCAAAGCCCTGAAACCCTGAAGCCTAAACCCCAAGCACAAGAAGGACCCCGATTTGTGAAGCACCTGTGCTTAGCAGTGTCGAGAACGCTTAGCCTGTATACTTCCGCTGGTTAGGACTGGCATGTTTTAGGGTGTAGTTGTTTAGAGTCTATATGCATGCAAATAGCGTTCAGCACTTAGGGGTACCTAGTTGTATCCCTGCAAGGTAGGTTTCAATACACCTCTGTAATTGACGAAGAACGGAACCCCAACAAATCATTACCTCTGGCCGAGTGAACACATAGATCCTGATTCACCCTAGGCCCTAAGCCCCAGCCCTAAACCCATGCCTTCAAACCCGAACTCGATAACACTTGGTTTCCTCCATACTTTTTGAATAGGGCCCTCATTTTGTAATCTTCTGATAAACAAGCAAAATTTCCGCCCAGGTGCAATGGCAGGGAGCTTGTTGCCTGAGTCAGAACTGGGGCAGGAGGACTTCGAATATTATCACAGGGGCCAACTTTTTTGGGGTTGCTTACTTTAGAAAGGAACAAAATGCAAAACACAAAGGAGAAAAGGGTACCACCGGGCAACCAAGAAGAATAAACACACGTCGCGCTAAGTATAAGTCCGCTGGTCTGTTGACCCGTGTTTCGTCGCATGAGCTCCCCTCAACTTTAACTAAGGGTTCATGTACCCATATGGTAAATATTTGGGCCCTGAGGCTACTAGTTATATAGGAACGCCTTTGAGGCCCAAGTATGTACCCTAAACCCTAAACCCTAAACCCTCAACCCTCAACCCTAAACCCCAACCCTAACCCCTGCCCCAAAAACCCTAGACCCTCAGCCCTGTAGGAATGCAAGAGTCGCTGAAGTGCTGCAGAGGCTCCGAGCTTCCACGATGCCTTGGCCACCATGGACCATGGCGCAGCTGCCTTGAACGAAGGTTGAGGTGAGGGTTTAGGGTTTAGGGTTTGGGGTTTAGGGTTTAGGGTTTAGGGTTTAGGGTTTAGGGTTTAGGGTTTAGGGTTTAGGGTTTAGGGTTTAGGGTTTAGGGTTTAGGGTTTAGGGCTTCGCGGCGCAGAGTTGGCTTTGAAGGTTGAGGGCTTGGAGTGGGTTGAGAAAGGTGCAGGATGGTCAGCAAGCCTCGAAAAGGAGGAGGGGAGGAGGTTTAGAAGCTTAGGGGCTTAGAACCCGATAACAAACGTGATCAGGAAGCCCCATACACCCTAAACCACCCTAAGCCCTAGACCTGAAATCCGAAACCTTTACAGCTGCGAGGCTTAGACGTTTGATGGCGATTTTGTCGAGCATGTTCGAAGGCGTCCGGGCTTAGGTGCTTCGTGGCATGCAGAATCCGCCGCCCCTGGCTACGCCAGAATGCGCCGCCCCTGGCTGCGCTCCGGCTCCTTCACGGTTCGCTTGTGCTCCAGTGATGTACTTGTCATGGAACAGGTGGCTCCTCGTGGTCAGCCATGGCCCGCGCCCCCCTACCCAAAGCTGTAGCCCAAATAGGCTTAGCTAAGGGCATAGGGTTCAGGAGGCCAAACTCAAGAGCTTCTGAGGCTTCAGGGTTTAGTGGCAATTTGAATCGGTTGAGCCTACAGCTCTAAACCCTAAACCCTAGCCCTAAACCCTAAACCCTAAACCCTAAACCCTAAACCTTGCAAAATCCAACACCCTAAACTCCCAAAACCTAAAAAGGGCACACACTTAGAACCCACAGCTTGATGAACGCTGACGGCCCCAACCCTACATTGAATCTCCAGGGCTCCCATTACGGGCCCTGGGCTTGGGTCCCTTGACCCTACTAAACCCTAAACCCTAAACCCTAAACCCTAAACCCTAAACCCTAAACCCTAAACCCTAAACCCTAAACCCTAAACCCTAAACCCTAAACCCTAAACCCTAAAAAAGCCCTAAACCCTGAACCCTAAACCCTAAACCATTATAAACTCTACATATTGAGGGCCCACGACTTCGGAGCCCTCCCTATAAACAAGGGTAAGGGACCATGCTAAGGCCCCGTGGTCCCAACCTGTCACGGAATGGAGAGTTTAGGGTTTAGGGTTTAGGGTTTAGGGTTTAGGGTTTAGGGTTTAGGGGAATTAGGCTCTTTAAGGTTTAGGCTGTTTAGTTCAGGGCTGAAGTTTTCGAGGATTTATTATTGCTTCAGAACATAGGGTGAAGGGCTTTGGGGCTTTTGGGGGGGGGCCCATGGGCTTTGGAGTTTAAGGTTATCGGGTTTGGCTTCAGACTCAGGTGGTGGGGGGGGGGGGGAGGGAGACGTTGGGGCAGTCGCGTGGCAGGATTCAGGGCTTAGAGCTTGAGAAACCTAAGCAATAAAGAATAAACCACCATACCCTAAACCCTAAACCCGAAACCCTAAACCCTCAACCCTAAACCCTAAACCCGAAACCCTAAACCCTAAACCCTAACCCTAAACGCCTTAAAGCCGAAGCTCTGACCGGCCTGCGCCAGGGCCGCCTCATTCTCGGCGGCGGTCAGGAGCAGGCCTCATTCCCAGAGACTCCCACCCCCTTTACAGGGCCTGGGGTTTAGGGTTTAGGGTTTAGGGTTTAGGGTTTAGGGTTTAGGGTTTAGGGTTTAGGGTTTAGGGTTTAGGGTTTAGGGTTTAGGGTTTAGGGTTTAGGGTTTAGTTTAGACTAGAGAAGCCATGTCTTTTTTCCGCCTGCAGTTGCCGTCGAGAAACGATGCTTTGACACGCTTGGATACTTGTGCTGCAGATTGGCCGTCTTGGCCTTTCGCGGCTAGCCATGATCATGCTCGCGCAGATGGCCATCTACCATCACGAAGGCCAAGAAACCTCTTCCGGAAGAGCTCCTGCTGCAGAAGCAGCGTAGCTTCCTTGCGCGTCAGGTTCGACATTTCAGAGATCGTAGACGCAGGTGTGACCTGCTCAGGATTGCTCTGTGACGCTCTCGAGGGTGTTGATGGCATCTTCATCATCTTGACCTAGACCCAGGAGAAGCCTAGGAATAATGAAAAAGGGTGCCCTTTTTGGCTTTAAGGGGATTACAAGGGAGCCCCAACCGTAAAAAAAAAACGGAAATAAGGGCCTACTCCGGGTCCTAGTGGCCTTCTCCTGAAGCTCCTCGACCTTCTCCCTGTGAGCCTTCTCGGCCTGCGCCTGCTTCTCCTCCGCGGCAAGCCGCTCCTTGAGCTGACGTTTCTTGGAAACAACCAGCTCAAGATCCTGGTTTTTCCTTAGTTGTCAGGGTTTAGGGTTTAGGGTTCAGGGTTTAGGGTTTAGGGTCAAGGGCTTGGGTGAGTATATTACCCCAAAAAGGTTAAAGGTTACCTACTCTACTACTAAGCTTCTTTCTCAAGGCATCACATGCCTGCGCGAGAATGACTGAGTTCGGTGTCGACGCCGTGGAGGATAGCTTCTCCTTCAGCTCTGGAAACATCTCGAGCTGGACATCCATGGCATGCTTCAGCATCGCGTTCACCGTCTTGTACCGTCGGAGTTCCTGCCGCAGTCGCAGGTTGTGGTCATTTAAGGTCGCCACCTGGACCTTGCCTTTAGCCAGCAAAGCGGCAGCATCGGCGGCCAACATGGCGACTTTGCACCAGGCGCCTACCAAGATATGCCGGCCCTATGGTCCCTGCACCTCAAGGAATCTGGACCCGGGAGTAAGCTAGGAATGAAGAGGGTGCCCTTTTTGGGTTTTAAGGGGCTTATAAGGGAACCCCAACCCTAAAAAAGGGAATAAGGGCCTACTCCCGGTCCTTGTGAATGCTTGCAATTGGCATACGAGGATTACGCTAAAAATGTCGAAGCGAGTAGCTTGATCAAGTGCCCATCTCCTGCGAGCAAAGCTCCACAGCGCAAGTTGGCCTGTCAGACCCTTGACCCCCTGGAGTCAAAAATCTCGTAAACTCAATCCATACCTGGGAATCGGCTAGGGTTTATATGGTTTAAGGTTTAGGGTTTTGGGGATAGTAGACTGCCAACCCTGGGCTCAGTTCAGTTGGAGGTTCACCAAAACGCATCCTGCCCGCCCTTCGGTTCTCCCGGATACACAAGGCACTTTTTTCGTCCCACCCTAAACCTGAAGCCCTCCACCAAACCATCAATCGGTGACTCTTAGTGGTGAATTCGGGAATCCGGTACCTCTTGTGCCAGCTCTTAGAGGGGCATGCAAGGGATATAAGGTGTGTAGTCCACATTCCCTGACATAAAAATACCCCACGGGGCCCTCCTAGGAACCCTACTACCCCTAAACCCTAAACCCTAAACCCTAAACCCTAAACCCTAAACCCTAAACCCTAAACCCTAAACTGCTCATCGAGTCGCATCGGCCGGTAGGCTTTGTAACCCGGTGGAACTCGCGGAGCAACTTTGGATAGAGCTCCTTTGGCATCCCGCAATGCAGTCTCTACCCGCTCATTTAGGGTTATAGGGTTTAGGGCTACTGTAGGGGGCCTTAATAACTAGAATCGTGTTTTTTTGGTTCTTTGTTGGGGGGGGGGGGCGTGTACTACAGCAGAACTGCAAAGGAGCCATCAGGGAATATGATGAGAAATTATTCCGACCCCTATATTTACCCTACCCCCCTACCTTCTACCTCCTGCCCACCCCCCCCTACCCGCCCTAAACCCTAAACCCCAAACCCTAAACCCCAAACCCTAAACCCTAAACCCTAAACCCTAAACCCTAACCCCCCCGCCCCCGCCCCCGTGACGCATAAAGGGGCTCTAGCGCAGCCCCAAACCCGTTTGAGGCCCTGAGATGCCTTTGAACTCTTAGGGTTTAGGGTTTAGGGTTTAGGGTTTAGGGTTTAGGGTTTTTTTTTTTGCATCCGCGTGGTTGAGGAGTCAGAGTATTCGTATTGCAACTTCTACATTCTTATCTATACTGTGCACTCGCATTATATATGAGTTGGTGCGTAATCTGAGTACTCAGTCTTGGTCGGAAACAGTCTTTGTCACACAACAGTTTTGCTTGCAAGCATTCAGGTTGCTTATAAGCGCGGGGTGAAGGGCCGTGAAGGGGGGGAGGGTACTTTATCTGACATCGTAATTATCCTTCCAAACACACATGCACAGCCTGAAAGGGTGGGTTCTGGTGGGTGGGTGGGTGGGACATATACATATTATATATATATATATATATATATGTATATATATATATGTAATTTATATATATATATATATATATATATATATATATATATATATATATATGCGCATGCATATACGTTCTATATGTATGTACACACGCATATATATATATATATATATATATATATATATATGTATGTATTAAAGCAGGTTCGACTTTTCTGGTTTCGAGCAACTTGCTCGTGGATTCTTGAACCAATATGGAAGCGGAGAAGACTACTTCAGACATAGCAGTGCACGTGGCAGCTTCTTGATGTCACATTCCCATCACCAGGTTGGTCGAGGCCTCTGGCCACACCCTAAACCCTAACCCCTAACCCCTAAACCCTAACCCCAAACCCTAATTGTGAGACCCTGCTCACGGCTCTACCAATCGAGAAAACGACCTAACCTTGCTCGAAGAGACCTAAAAGAGGGGTCAGAATAATTACTATAGTATTCCCTTACGGTTCCTTTATAATTCTACTACAATCCTCCCAAAACCCTATTCTAATTATTCAAGGCCTCTATATGATCTGCAATGAGGAGAAGCGTACCCTCTGCAGGCTGATCTGAATGATGGTCACTTTCGTGGGCTTTTTACCATCGTGCATTCCTTGATCCTTCTTGGGGCACTCAGTGGGCCCACAGGTTAGGTCAACTCCGCCCCAATTAAAGCCCTAAACCCGCAAGCTCAGAGTCATAAATTACGCAGAAATGAGATCAGGCTCAGCCCAAATCCCTCAAGACGGAGCCAGTATAGTTCAGGGAAAAGAACGGGGGGCAGGTATGCTCTTGGTAGCCCAAGAACTCTACCCTAGTCACGGTGCCCTTTTGCGGGTTTTGGCGACTTTTATGGGGCCGAAGGCTACAGCTGGGCGGCGGGATCTGCCTCCGGAACTCTTCCCTCCACCCCTAACCCTGAGGGTCCAGGTACCCATATGGTATATATTTGGTTGGGCCCTAAAGCGAATACATAGGAAGCCCTTTAAGGCCCAAGTATGTACTATATATATATATATATAGAAATATATATATATATAATATGTACATCCCTCCTTAAGCCCCATAAACCCTATAAGTACATGGACCCGTAGGGTAACACGCCCAGGTCCTTGTTACCCTCCACGCTGCCAAACTGTCCTGAGAGCTACTGTTTAGGGTTTAGGGTTTAGGGTTCTGAACCCCGAAAAACAGGTGGATTCTTGGTGAGGGTTGAGGGTGCAGAGTTTAGCGGTTCCAAAAGAGAGGGTTTTTAGGAAGTTTTCGGCGGGTGTGGGGTTCAGAGCTTAGGGATGTATTTACATATACATATATATATATATGTATAGAGCATAGGGTTTGAGGCTTTTCGGGGGGGGGGGGGGGGGGTTATGTAGAGGGTTTTCGGCTTTTGGGAGGGCTTGGGGGGCTCAGGGCCGCAAGTCCTCGCTACCCCCAAACTCCATGCCCGCCCAGGGGTTGGTGTGGTCTGACATCCTCGAGCTGTCTCGCACCCTATCTGGCCCCCAATACCCCAATAAGGCACCCCTAATATCGTAAGCCCCCATATAAGAATCGAGCCTGTGTGTGTGTGTATATGTGTGTGTATGTGTGTATGTATGTGTGTATGTATGTTTATGTATGTGTGTATGTGTGTATGTGTGTATGTATGTATGTATGTATGTATGTATGTATGTATGTATGTATGTATGTATGTATGTATGTGTGTATGTATGTATGCATGCATGCATGTATGTATGTATGTATCTGTGTGTGTATGTATGCATGTGTGTATGTATGTATGTATGTATGTATGTATGTATGTATGTATGTATGTATGTATGTATGTATGTATGTATGTATGTATGTATGTGTGTATGAATGAATGAATGAATGAATGAATGAATGAATGAATGAATGAATGAATGAATGAATGAATGAATGAATGAATGAATGAATGAATGTATGTATGTATGTATGTATGTATGTATGTATGTATGTATGTGTGTGTGTGTATGTATGTGTGTGTGTATGTGTGTATGTGCGTATGTGTGTATGTGCGTATGTGTGTATGTGCGTATGTGTGTATGTGTGTGTATGTATGTATGTATGTATGTATGTATGTATGTATGTATGTATGTATGTATGTATGTATGTATGTATGTATGTATGTATGTGTGTGTGTGTTAGGGTATAGGGTTAGAGTTTAGAATAAGGTGTAGGAATTTTTAAGTGTAGTAGCAAAAGGTTAGGGTTTAGGGTTTGGGCTTTTGCCGCATTGGGCGTCAGCCTTGCTCACACCGGCATCCTACTCTTTGTGGGTGTAGGCTAGGGCACCGACGAGGACGTCTAGCTTCGCCGACGTCATCTTAAACCCTACAAGCCCTCTGAGCTCTGTAAGCTCTACGCCCCCAAACCCTAAGCCATATACGGCCTATGAGATAAACAAGCTATACCTCACATCAATTGCGCAAAGTGAGATCCATCCATATCCGCCAAACCATGAAGCCAGCTGATGGTCTCGACTTTGTAAGCACGTTCCCGCTCTCCATGTCTTCAGTCTGCTGCAGGCACTAACGCAGCTACCTCATTACCCCCCCCCCCCCCCCTCTTGTTGTGGGTGTGGGTGGATTTGTTGCTCTTATCTCCCTCTCTATTTCTCATATTCGCAGCACGCAGCCGAAACCCAAAACCCCAAACCCCAAACCCTAAACCCTAAACCCTAAACCATCCTGCAGATGGAGCCCGGCACACAACGACATCAACCGAACGATGGGATGTCGTCAACGGGCACTGGTGACAGCACGAGCTAAAACACTACAAACAATGTAGGAATGCTCATGATGATGCTAGTAAGAAGAGAAATCATACAACAACAAAGTACACCCCAAACCCTAAACCCTAAACCCTAAACCCTACACCCTAGACCCTAACCCCCCCCCCCCAGCAACTTTTGCCAAAGTTCGTCCAAATGGCAAATCACAGACCACGACGTCGGCGAAGGCGTCCGGGAGAGGCAGACCTGGGCTCTTCGTAAGACCCGGAGATGCCAATGCTCCTAAACCCTAAACCCTAAACCCTACCCTGAACCCTGAACCCTGAACCCTAAACCCTAAGCCCTAAACCCTAAACCAACCCTAAACCTTTACCATTCCAGTATGGTTGTTTTGAGGACTGCCCCAAGGCTCCAAGACGTCTCCTGAGGAAATTTCGGGGGGGGGGGGGGGATCCGAAAGCCCAAAAGCAATCCCTAAGGGTCCATGTAGGTTAGGGTTTAGGGCTTAGGGCTTAGGGTTTAGGGCTTAGGGTTTAGGGTTTGGGTTTAAAATTTCGGGTTTTGGGTTTAGGGATGTACCTATACGGTACATACTTTGGCCTTAAAGGGGTTCCTATATAGCAGCTTTAGGGCCCAAGTATATACGATATGGACCCTTAGGGAGTTGGAGCCTTCGGGTCTACGATTTGCTGTGCTGGGCTTAGACTGCTCTGCACGAAGAACACGTCCAATTCCTTGGCCCAAGCCCAGCAGACAAGAGCCTGCGGCCAACTGCTTGCCCTGATCCCTAAGTCCTGAACCCTAAACCCAAAACCTAAGCCCTGAACCCTAAACCCTAAACCCTAAACCCTGACCCTAAACCCTAAACCCGAAACCCGAAACCCTAAACCCTAACCCTAAACCCTGAACCTGAAACCCTAAACCCTAAGCCCTAAATCCTACGTAATCCCTAAACCTGAAACCCTCAACCGGGTCTCGGAAATTTGGCCCAGGTGGCGCGTAGCGTCGGCCCGCAGCAAGGCCCAGCGCGGGTGACGCAGCGCGCGGAAGTGCTCCTTAGTTCATCGGTTTAGGGTTTAGGGTTTAGGGTTTAGGGTTTAGGGTTTAGGGCCCTGGACAGGTTCAAGCGACTTGCCTAGGCTCCCAAGTAATCTAGGACAATATCTGGCTGAAAGGGGGATTCTGATGGAAGCTAACACAACAGAAAACGGAAGTTAGGCCACACGCTGGGTCCGAGCTGGTGTACCAGGAGCTTGCTACAATTGAGGTTGTCATCCTATTTGCAACTCCCCAAACTGGCTTCGACGCAATTTTGTAAACAAATCTCCAGGCAACCCGGAAAACCCATAGGCAGCTGCTTTAAAAGGGAACCGCCCCCCCTACACACAGCAAACAAAAGGTCTTCCGGACCCCCAAAGCAAAAAACCCTACCCGAACAAAAGCAAGCAACAACTGGGACTAAATGGCAACAAACCACAACTGATGACAAGAAAAACATCTGCTAAACTGTACAACCAAAACTGAAAAAATATCGGCATCCTCCAGAAAAGTCATTCTTACAGACTTATCTGCCCCTACCCCCCCCCCCCCCAAAGATAAAAGAACGGATTGTGCGTATGTTGAGAACCCCCCCCCCCCCCTGTGCCCAACCTAAACCTAAACCGTTTAGGGAAACGCCCTCTCATAACAAAAGAAAAAGTACTATTTTCTTAAGAACCCGGGTTCTTATAAGCAATTAGTATTGGGAGGTTCTCCCTTATACTAACAGTCCGTAGTAAGGAAAGTGTTGCCCCCCCCAATATAATAATCTATCAAGGACTGTTAGTATCAGGAAGAACATCCCAACCTTAACCCTGCAAGCTTGAACCCCTAAACCCTAAACCCTAAACCCTAAACCCTAAACCCTGAACCCTAAACCCTAACGCCTAAACCCTAAACCCTAAACCCTAGACCCTAAACCCTACCTGGACCCAAAATGAAAAAAAACAAATATACGTATATATATATATATATATATATATATATTTATATGTATATATGTATTTATTTGGGTCACCGCCTATAGCGCTTCCCCTGTGTTTTTGCAAATCCCTTAAACCATTCAACCAAGAATCCCTCAAACCATTAACCATTAAACCAATGGTTTCCCCCATATGATAATCTCTCAAACCGTTAAACCATTAAGCCATTAAACCATTAAACCAATGGTTTCCCCCATATGAGAATCCCCCAAACCACTAAACCATTAAACCATTAAATCATTAAACCAATGGTTTCCTCCTGATGAAAATCCCCTAAACCATTAAACCATTAAACCATTAAACCATTGAACCATTAAACCATTAAACCATTAAACCAATGGTTTCCCCCATATGAGAATGCCCTAAACCATTAAACCATTAAACCATGAAACCAATGGTTTCTCCCATATGAGAATCCCCTAAATCATGGGATTCTCATAAGGGGGAAACCATTGGTTTAATGGTTTAATGATTTAATGGTTTAATGGTTTAGTGGTTTCATGGTTTAGGGGATTCTCATAAGGGGGAAACCACTGGTTTAATGGTTGAATGGTGTAATGGTGTGATGGTTTAACGGTGCTCCTGCCGAGGTGCCTCGACCGCATGCTGCCGTGGCATCACTATGCATATTATCCTACAGATTATAGTTTTCTACCGGTATCTTTTCTGCTCCCAAAAATTATGAATCCCGTGTCCCCCGTATCTTTTCTGCTCATAAGTATACGTATACTATATGGTCGACTACATCGATTGCGCCTCGGCCCCAATAAGCAAACAAGACATCTATCCGAAAGACTTTACCTTAGCTAAGATATCTCAAGCAGCCATCCCCCCGATAAGCAAAACCTGTATTCAATCAATTTCCGATATAGTTTGTTTATATTTTGAATCCCAGGAAGTAGTGAAAATGACGAGCTCTGCGGATGTATTTATATGACAAGGTTATAACTTGTTGCTGTGGTTATAACTATGGTTTAGGGTTTGATTTTTTGTACACTTATGTAAACCTTTAAAACAAGGCGGGAACCCCATCACGCCCCAATAAGCAAGACAAGGCATCTATCCTAAAGACTTTACCCTAGCTAAGATATCTCAAGCAACCATCCCCCGATAAGCAAAACCTGAATTCTACCATACAACGATATAGTTTGTCTATATTTTGAATGCCAGGAAGTAGTGAAAGGTCATTTGCTCGCAGTATTCTCGCGTCCCCGGGACACAAGCCCTACAAACATAGGCATGACCCTAGGGGGTTGAAGGTTTAGGGATTTAGGCCTGAAGCCCTTTAGGGCTTTAAGGTTCTATCGTACAGGTAATGCTCAAACCTTGAACCCTAAACCTATAAACCTATAAATTCATAGAGTTCAATGGTTCAAAAAACTAAGGTCTGGGCATCTATACCTTCAGTGCCCTTTTGGCTTAAAACCTTTGAACCTTGTAGAGCCTTATCGGGTTGCAGGATTCTGACCCTAAACGGTTCAAGGTTGAGGCTTAAATGCCCGAACCTTCAACCCTTAAGGTTAAAACTCTATGGGTTTAGGTTTAAAATGCCTAAATCTTACACCCGAACCCCTTAAACCTTAACTCTATCGGGTTTAAGGGTTAGGGTTTAGGTTTAATCGCGGGCTTACTGTTTAAATGCATCAATCTTAAGCCCTAAACTCCTAAACCTGTCAACCTTAACCCAAGAGGGTTGGGGTGCCTACATCATCATTGACTTGTTGCTGTAGTTATAACTATATGGTTTAGGGTTTGAATTATGTACATTTATGTAAACCAATAAAAAATAAGGGGAACCGCAATAGGCGGACGTCCATATATTTATATATTTATAATGGAGGGGGAGTTGTATCGAAGGCAAGGCTCGGAAGCGCGGCGGATCATGTCTGGGTCGATGTCGCTACCCACCTTGGTTAGGGTTGAGGGTTTAGGGTTTAGGGTTTAGGGTTGGGCGAGGGGTGGGTAGGCCGGGGGGGGGGGGGGGGGGGGAGATGATCCAAAAGCGGCTGAGGTTTAGGGTTTTACGGGTTTGGGTCCTAAAGGGCTTTAGGACTTCTGGGGTTTTGGGATTTAGGCTGCTTTCAGGATTGTTCGGGTTTAGGTGCTTTAATTGATGGAGAACCCTGTTTAGACGGAGCCTCATGCTGAGAGGTACTCCGCGCTGAATTTTGCAGCCCCGACCAGTAGAGCTGAGGCTTAGTTGGGGCTTCTGGATTAGGGTAGTTAACCAGGGTGTTGGGTTTTGAGGTTTAGATTTGGGCTGAGTCTTGGGTTTAGCCGTAGTTGGACACGTGCACGGCTAAGTGAGCTCGCGCTTCATGCGCCCAGCACGCAGAAACCTTTTGATGCCGCAACCGCAGACTACTCAACAAACGTCGGCCATGCCGAGCTGAGATGAAATCCCAGGGTGGCAGATTCCAATCAAAGCCACCGCGCTGTGCTGGAGGTTCTATGAGAGGCCAAGCGTTCCGGACGATTTGCTACCATCGTGTCCCCCACTTAGCACAGTATCCCGAGCTAAGCTAAGCGCCGTTCCGAAAGTAGGCAACCAGATGCCCGGGCAAATGCGTTGCCAATGCGCGCAAGACTAGAAATCCCCTACGCTTCAAAAACTACCACTAGAGCCAAGCCACAAGAACATAGCCCAAATCACGTGTGTGCCCTTCCACTTCAAACCTCAATAGAAGGGTTTAGGGTTTCGGGTTTAGGGTTTAGGGTTTGTAAGTAGCAACAAACCCTAAGGGTCCATGTACCTAAATAGGGAATACTTGGGCCTTAAAGTACCTCCTGTACTAGGACTTTAGGGCACAAGTATCTGATAATGAGGTACATGGACCCATCGGGAAAGATGAGCAGCAACAACAAGAAGACAAAAGGCAAGGCGGCAAAGAGGCCGGAAACCCTCAGGGTCCGTGTATCCTTAAAGTATATACTTGGGCCCTAGAGCTGCCAAAGAGGAAACGTTAAGGCCCAAGTATGTATAGGTACATGCCTGAACGATAAACCCTAAACCCTAAACCCCAAACCCTTAAACCCTAAACCCTAAACCTACGTGGACCCTTCGGGGAAAGAAAGCAAGCAACACAACGAAAAAAGTCGGCTCCTGGCGGACGAGCTGCGACATAGGAGGACTTCGGGGCCTCCGTGAGCAGCATTCCTCCCCAAAGCATCGGGTTTAGGGTTTAGGGTCTAGGGGTTAGGGTTTAGGGTCTAGGATTTAGGGTCTGGGGTTTAGGGTTTAGGGTCTGGGGTTTAGGGTTTAGAGAACCCTCAACTCTAAACCTTGGGGTGGTTAAATCGGTGACCACTTCAGACAGACGTGCCCAGGAGTACAAGGAGACAGACTCCCGTACAGCGACAGCGCTGGATCAAAGAAGAGGGTTTAGGCTGAGGCGGTTTAGGGTTCGTATAGGGTTTAGGGTTTGGGGGTTTAGGCTGAGGTTGAGCCTGAACCCAAACCCCTATGATCCAACCCGTGGTAATGTCGCTAAGCCCTGGGCTAAGCCCTGAACCCACCCTAAACCCTAAACGCTAAACCCTAAACCCTAAACCCTAAACCCTAAACCCTAAACCCTAAACCCTAAACCCTAAACCCTAAACCCTAAATGCAGATGCCTAGGAGAATGACCGGCGCAGTGTGGCTAAGCCGAAGGGTCCATGTAGCTCATTGTCATCTACTTGGGCCCCAACGTCCCTACACAGGAGGTTGCTTGAAGCCCTAAACCCTAAACCCTAAACCCTAAACCCTAAACCCTAAACCCTAAACCCTAAACCCTAAACTAAGAGCCAAGTATTCCCTATTTGGGTACATGGACTGTTAGCGTGAGCCGTGATCACCTGGAGCATTTTGGGGGGGAAGGGGATGGGTGGGGGGGAGGACAGGGTGCCCCCTACAAAGGCTCAAGTCAGGGAGGAGCCCGAAACCCTAAACCCCAAATCCTAAACCCTACATCCTAACAAACCCTAAGCCCTAAAGCCTCAACCCTAAAGTGCCCAAAGCCTAAACCCTAAACCCTAAACCCCAAATTCATCCTTCTGATTAGGAGGATGACGAGGCTGGAGGTTCTCAACCCCGATGATGGCCTGTGCCACACATGGGATCCAGCAAGACTTCCCCTGGTTGAACACCTGAGCACAGCTTGGCTACAACGAGCTGTACCTTAAGAGACCCCGCTGCACCCGAACATCCTAGATAATGAAAAATGAAGCCCTGAAACCCTAAGGGTCCATGTACCTAAGAAAGGAGTACCACTAGGAATACACCCTAGCATCCTGGAGAGTAAAGCCCGGATGAAAGAGAAAGTCCCCAAAGCCAAAGCCTGAACGCCCTATTTCGGCCTAGAGCCTACACCCTAAACCACAAACCCTAAAACAAACACCCTGACTACGTAGGCCCTAAACTCTACTCCTCAAACCGCAAAGCAAGAACAAGCTCAGCTCCGGAACCCACCACCCTAAACCCTACGCCCGCAAACCTAAACGGCAAAAAAACCTAAACCCTAAACCCTAAACCCTAAACACTAAACCCGACTAAGCTCTGCTCAGGAAGCCTGCCGCAGAAACCAATGCCCAGGCCACATTGGGATGCCTTGGGAGACCGCAAGAGAGCACTACCCAGACCCCTGGGAAGATCCAAAAAGTAGAACCCCCAAAACCCAAACCCCAAAACCCTAAACTCCAAACCCTAAACCCTATACTATTATTGAGTCATTTTTAAGAAGCCTCAAGGAGATCTACTTTTTGGATCCTGCCAGGGGTCTGGGTATGTCGGGCTTATCAAGGTTGAGGAGACGGAAAGGTTGAGGAGGAATCAGGTTCACTGTTTGGGGTTTAGGGTTTACAAGGTTTAGGTTTGTCTTGGGCTTAGGGCTTACAGGGTTTATAGGGTTTAGGTTTCAGGAGAACCCGAAAAACCCTAAAGCCTAAACCCTAAACCAAGGGAAGAAGGGCCCGCTGGCTGTGGGTCCGGCCTCGTGGTGTCGGTCATTTTGGGGGCGTTCGGAATGTCGAGCGCTTCCGAGGTTTATTCGGCTTCAAGGTTATGGGGGCTGACTTTAGGTTTAGGGTTCAGGGTTCAGGGTTAGGGTTTAGGGTTTAGGGTTTAGGGTTTAGGGTTTAGGGTTTAGGGTTTAGGGTTTAGGGTTTAGGGTTTAGGGTTTAGGGTTATGTTCCATCCTCATGCCCTGATCCGTTGAGTCCACAGGAGGGCTTATAGGGGCCCAAGAAGACCCTGCTTTTGGGCCCAGGTCCCAGGTACCTTTCGGTTTGGGGTTTGGGTTCCTAGGGTTTAGGTAGGGTTTAGGGTTTAGGGTTTTGGGTTTAGGGTTTAGGGTTAGGGTCCATCCTCATGCCCTGATCCGTTGAGTCCACAGGAGGGCTTATAGGGGCACAAGAAGACCCTGCTTTTGGGCCCAGGTCCCAGGTACCTTTCGGTTTGGGGTTTGGGTTCCTAGGGTTTAGGTAGGGTTTAGGGTTTAGGGTTTAGGGTTTAGGGTTTAGGGTTTAGGGTTTAGGGTTTAGGGTTTAGGGTTTAGGGTTTAGGGTTTAGGGTTGAGGGTTGAGGGTTGAGGGTTGAGGGTTTAGGGTTTAGGGTTTAGGGTTTGGGAGGGTTTAGGGTTTTTTGGGCCCCTTCGGGGGCTGCAGCATGGTAGGGAGTGCTTAAGACATGAGAGACCGAAACTGCGGTTGATAGGGTTTAGGGTTTAGGGTTTAGGGTTGAGGGTTGAGGGCTTGGGGTTTAGGGTTTAGGGCTCAGGGCTTAGGGTGTAGGGTTTAGGGTTTGGGTTTAGGGTTTTTTGGGCCCCCTCGGGGGCTGCAGCATGGTAGGGAGTGCTTAAGACATGGGAGACCGAAACTGCGGTTGATAGGGTTTAGGGTTTAGGGTTTAGGGTTTAGGGTTTAGGGTTTAGGGTTTAGGGTTTAGGGTTTAGGGTTTAGGGTTTAGGGTCTAGGGTTTAGGGTTTAGGGTTGAGGGTTTAGGGTTTAGGTTCAGGGTTTAGGGTTTTTTGGGCCCCCTCGGGGGCTGCAGCATGGTAGGGAGTTTAGGGTTTAGGGTTTAGGGTTTCGGGTTGAGGGTTTAGGGCTTCGGGGGTGGTATAGATGCCTCTGCAGGAGTGCGCGCGCGCCATAGGCAGGTGACTCAAGCCCGAAAACGCAAAAGCTCTACGCAACGCTTGCAACCCTGCAAACTCCGGTCGCCCTACTTGGTCCCTATGGGAGCTCAAAGCCTTGAACCTTCCAATTATTCAAGCCCCTACAGTAGCCCTAAACCCTAAACCCTGAACCCTAAACCCTAAACCCGAAACCCAAAACCCTATTCCAAGTAGTAAGCCCAAAACTGAACCCTAGTGTCAGGTTAGGAGGGTTCAGGGTATAGGGTATAGGGTTTAGGGGTTTGGGGTTTAGGGTTTAGGGTTTAGCTTTGAACCCCGGATTCGACCGAGCAACAGTCCCGTAGCCGAAGAGTAGACCGGCTTCGACTCTAGCTGACGGAGCAGCAGAAGGCCTGGTGTGCTTGCAGGGTTTAGGGTTTAGGGTTGAGGGTTGAGGGTTGAGGGTTGAGGGTTTAGGGTTTTAGGGTTTACGGTTCTATGTGCTTCGCACGGGCCTTTTGGGGTTTAGGGTTTAGGGCTTAGTGATACTCCAGTCATACAAGGCCCTCTATCAGCCACCCATACAGCTACGAATTGTTCAGGGCGTAATCCAGCAAATCCCCCTTTAACACGGTCGTACTTTTAGCACCGAAGCCCCAACCCTTCATTGAAGGTACTCCACGTGCACCTTAACCTATCCTGGATCCTATCTACGTCTTACATCCTACACCCTGCACCCGAAACCCTAAACCCTAAACCCTAAACCCTAAACCCTAAACGGGGGTTAGGGTATAGGGTTTAGGGTTTAGGGTTTAGGGTTTAGGGTTTAGGGTTTAGGATTTAAGGGTATACGGGTATGAGATAGGGGTACGACGGTTCCCTAGGTTGTTTGCATAGGTTGTAGGGTTTGAGGGTGTACGGGTATGAGATAGGGGTGCGGAGGTTCTTTAAGTGTTTTTGCATCATAGGTTATAAGGGTATAACAGCATGAGGGCACCAAGGTTCTTTGGGTATACGGATAGTACGAGATCCTATAGCGCCCAGACGAGGAACTGCTTGAAGGGTGAGGTTTGGGGGCCCTGGCATGATTCTACTCCTTGAGTGCATCGATCATCGTGGCAGGGCTGGGGTCCAAGAGCCACTCTGTTTACACCTAAGCCGGGTTTAGGGTTTAGGGTTTAGGGTTTAGGGGGCTCAAGGTATAGGGTTCAGAGTCTCAGAGTTTAGGGGTTTTAGGGCCGTACGATCCCCGATCGTCCGCGGAAGCCTCCGCACGTCTCCTCCTCCACCGCAAAGATCCACACCTCTTCCAGTCTTCCAGGGTTTAGGGCTTAGTCAAGAGGTCGATGGTTTCCTAGAAGCCCAAGAAGTAACAGTGCATAAAGTTGGCATAAAGCTTGGTAGCCCAGTGACCATAGTATAACACGGGCACCCTTTTTTTGGGTTGGCTACTTTAAAGGGGAACCCACGACCAAAAAAAGGGGGTAAAGGGTACCAGTGGGCTACCAAGACCCAAAACCCTATAACCCTATAACCCTATAACCCTAGCCCTAAACCCTAAACCCTAAACCCTAAACCCTAAACCCTAAACCCTAAACCCTAAACCCTAAACCCTAAACCCTAAACCCTATAGACCCTAGACCCTAAACCCTAAACCCTTAACCCTGAACTTGATTTGTCAGGAGTTGGCGGCCCGGGACTCAGGTTCCTCGAGGCTCCAGTGCAAAGCCTGTCGGGAGAACATTGCGGGGAAACCCCTCGACCCAAGAGTATCCTAGGAATAAAAGACCAGACCCGGGAGTAACCTAGGAATAAAAATAAGTGCACCCTTTTTGGTCTTAAGGGGATTATCAGGGAACCCCAACCCTAAAAAAAGGAAAACAAGGGCCTACTCCCGGTCCTAGAAGGGGTGCCCGGGTGCCCTTTTTGGTTTAAAGGGGCTCGTACGGGAACATAAGCCCTATAGAAAGGGAAGGCAGCAAGGGCGTCATCTGGGTCCCAGACCCTCTACGAGGCGAACTGGAACTAGCAGCTAGTGGAACGACATCTAGGCTGCCCAGTAACCAAGGCTTAAAAAGGGTGCCCTTTTTTGCTTAAAGGGGTTCATAAGGGAACCTAAACCCCCCAAAAAAGGAATAAGGGTACTACTGGCCATCCTAGTCATTAGACTACAGCCTTCAGGTTGGGTTTACGGCCTGGAGCCTGGGGCTTAGCTTCAGGGCCCGTTTAGGGTTTCGGGTTTAGGGTTTAGGGTTTAGGGTTGTAGGGGTAATGGCTTCAAGGATTGTTGAGGGCTTGGGTTTAAGGGTTTAGGGCCATGGGGGCCCTATAGCTTGAGATTGCGCTCCTGCTACTGTTGAAGCGGCGCGTAGACGGAAAACTCGTGCATGGTGATTAAACCCCATCCCGCCCTGAAGGCCTTGTAGGAGGCTAAAAGCATGGGGTTTTGTGAGTATAGGGATGAAGTAGGTTTAGGGTTTAGGGTTTAGGGTTTAGGGTTTAGGGTTTAGGGTTGAGGGTTTAGGGTTTGGGTTTAGGGTTTAGGGCTTGGGGTTTGGGGTTTAAAGTCGAGAGCATCCCTTTTGTTGGCCTCCAAGTGAGGGACTCGTAGATCCAGGGTCCATCCGAATCGATCCTGAACCGAACTTAGTACTTGGAGGGTTCTTTAGGGTTTAGGGTTTAGGGTTTTGGGTTTTGGGTTTAGGGCTTAGGGATGGGTACTTATAACCAACAGTTATACGTCTACTTATAACCTACTTAGGGGACGTAGGAGGTTCATAAGTACAGCTATAATCAGGGTTCTCAGTACCCTGAACCTCCAGGTCATACAAGGGTCGGAATAAATACTTCTAGTATTCCCTTGTGGTTGCTTTTCTAATTATACTATCATAACCCCCCAAAAAAATCTATTTTCGAATCCTGAAGGCCCCTGGGTTTGCAGGCTGGTTCTCCGGGTCTGGATAGCCGTTCGTGCTAAACATTTTGGACAAGGACAGGGTCTAAGGTGGTAGGGCTCACAGGTTTATTAGAGGATTATTTTTTCTAGTAGGGATTTAAGTGTAGCTCAGGCTTCGACGCTTGAGAATCTCGGTAGTGTCTCAAAGCTGATCAGAGCCGGGGCCCTGAACTCTAGGCCGAGGGCGGTTTTGTTGAAGCTTAGGCCTAAACCCTAAACCCTAAACCCTAAACCCTAAACCCTAAACCCTAAACCCTAAACCCTAAACCCTAAACCCTAAACCCTAAACCCTAAACCCTAAACCCTAAACCCTAAACCCTAAACCCTAAACCCTAAACTGTGGTTTTCTTAAGAGGACGTCGGCAACAAAAGCGCATTCCGACTGCATCAGGGCAGGTGTCCTAGCCCAGATGTATGGGATTGTGAACAAAGGGCAACCTGATGTTCGACAACTTCTACACACTAAGCCCTAAACCCTAAAGGCCCAAACCTTGAACAAGAAACCCCCGCCCCACATGGGACGGTAATCTCCGGACAACCTCGACCTCAACGTGCCCCTCCAAACTCCTCAGGGTTTAGGGTTTAGGGTTTAGGGTTTAGGGTTTAGGGTTTAGGGTTTAGTCCAAACTTCAAGCATTGCTGCCAGAGCTCCTGAAGCGCGGCACCTCTGGTTTTGAAGGGGTTTAGGGTTTAGGGTTTAGGGTTTGGGGTTTAGGGTTTAGGGTTTAGGGCTCAATCCGGAACCCTAGAGGCCGCACACATCTTATCAACCCGAGAGCCATAAACCTCCAAGCCTGAAACGCTCTTAAACCCGGAAAAATCGCAAAACGCCATAAACCCTGCGGGTTAAGTCATAGCCTACAACAAAAAGTAGGTTTCTGGAATCATTGAGGCAGGCCCCGTTCGTTCTTCTGCCTTGATGTGAAACACATTCATCTGTGCAAAGATATTCAAAGACAAGTAAAGGCTCCGCCCGTCATGGTGCAGGGTTTAGGGTTTAGGGTTTAGGGTTTAGGGTTTAGGGTTTAGGGATTAGGGTTTAGGGTTTAGGGTTTAGGGTTTAGGGTTTAGGGTGCAGGGTTAAATTCATGGTTTGAGGGTACTCTTCTGTTGCAGCCAACATCTCCGGCACCCTGTCCTTGCTTCGAAGCTCTTTTGACTTAGTAAGTCTACTGAGTAACCCTAGAGAAACCCAAATTATAATCCGCATAGGCCACCTTCCTAACCCTACTTACTAAGTCGAAAGGGCCCTAAACCCTAAACCCTAGACCCTAAACCCTAAACCCTAAACCCTAAACCCTACACCCTAAACCCTAAGCCCTAAACCCTAAACCCAAGCACTGGCAGTAATTCGTTCAGCCCTGCAGGAGCTACGCTCGATTTCCCAACTGCAGAGGGCCTCCCGGGAGTTAAGACCATCCATGGCACGCGCGCACTCCACAAACACGTTGCTTATCCCCAGCGACTGCTTAAAACCTAGGTTGTGCTACTTTTTTACAACTAAGGGCCCCTTAGAAGCCTAGTTTTGACTAGGGGGCCTCTCCCAGTAGACCAGAATTAAGGGCCCTAAACCCTAAACCCTAAACCCTAAACCCTAAACCCTAACCCTAAACCCTAAACCCTAAACCCTAAACCCTAAACCCTAAACCCTAAACCCCGGGATAGTTTGGGGCAAAGCAACCGAGTCGCCTATGGACCTCTCGATCGCAAGGGAGCTGGCACCATCCTTCCGGCCACTGCGCTTGCAGCTGACTCTGAAGGAGCCTTCGAGGGGCGGAACCGCTTAAGACCTTCTGGTTTAGGGCTTTTAGGGTTTAGGGTTTAGGGTTTAGGGTTTAGGGTTTAGGGTTTAGGGCTTTCCTGAATGCCTTCTTTAAGGCCCTGCAGAGGGCACAAGACAGGGGCGGTTGGTTCACTCTTGCCTGTGTGGCTTCTTGTTCCGACTGCGCGGCTCGGGGGGTCAGAGGGCTTAGGGACTGGTTGGCCTCTGAACATATTCCCAACCTTTTCTGGGTACCCTAAACCCTGAACCCTAAACCCCGAACCCTAAATACTAGGGGGCCGCCTTTGAATAGTAACCCGTAACCCTAAAAGGGACCGTCATTTCGAGAAGTGACCATGCGAAACATACCAAGGGGCCTACCGAGTGGCCCAGAGACTGGCTTAAGAGCCCAATACCTATGTCAAGCTACAAAAAAGTAAAATAGGGGCCTTACTGGTTTAGGGTTTAGGGTTTAGGGCTGAGTGAGTATAGCGATATCGGGACAATATGTGAATACCGCTAGTAGCTATTCCAGCCCCTGTATTAGGTTGGTACTGTGCCAGCGACACAGAGGACATGTAAAAAGTTCGATGTCCTCATTTTGTCCCACGAAGAAGGGATCGGAGCAAGTGTCCCAGCATTCGCATTTGCAGAAATTAGAGAAGTTTGAACTATGGCACCGAATTGAACGAATACCTGGTCAAATTCTTTCGCGTTAGCAATTTGGGAGTCCAGAACTACCCTGCTACCTAAGAAATGCTTTGGTACGACCCATCGCAGAAACCAAAGACCTCGCCGTTAAACACTGAAACCCTCCACCCCAATTCCCGTATGCTAAACCGGCAAAACCCTTGCGAAGCGACATGCCTCAGCCCGCCTAGACACTCAACGATGGTTGAGGGTTTGGGGTCCAAAGAGACCCATTCCTCACTTTGGCCTTCTCTGGGCCTGCCATACAATACATTTGGTACAATAGTTCGGGGGTACCTACACCCTAAACCCTAAATCCTAAACCCAAAACCCTAAACCTCACAACCTAAACCCTAAACCCTAAACCCTAAACCCTACACCCCAAACAAAAACACACCGCAACTCCGATCAACCCTGAAACGCGGCTAAGATGCGCACGCGGCCGCAAAGTTGAGACCACGCGTTGACTTCCTCCTCCTCGGAAAGCTTGTGAGACTTCTCCAGGGGACAGAGGCTAGCGTGGGGTTTAGGGTTTAGGGATTAGGGTTTCGGGTTTCGGGTTTTGGGTTTAATGTTTAGGGTTTAAGGGTTAGGGAAGGACAGTTGGGGGGCTTGGCTCCTTTGTGGTTTGGGTGGCTTTTATCTTTTCTAGGTTTGTCCTGAAAAAGCCCTCTGAAAAATCTCTTCTGTATGATCCCCTTAAACCCAATCAGGGATAACATGAAATCTCCCAAGGGCCTACCTAGTTTTCACGCGGGTCTTTTTAGGTTTTTTGGTCCGACACATGTCAAGGGCACCCTAAACCCTAAACCCTAAACCCTAAACCCTAAACCCTAAACCCTAAAGCCTAAAGCCTAAACCCTAAACCCTAAACCCTAAACCCTAACTAAACCCTAAACCCTAAACCCTAAACCCTAAACCCTAAACCCTAAACCCTAAACCCTACTGCACCTGAGGAGCTCCTGTGGGCAGCTGCCATCAGAGTTATTGCTGGGTTCCCTCTTCTGATATGGGCCCATGATCTTGAGAACAGTATCCCTAAACCCTAAACCCTAAACCCTAAACCCTAAACCCTAAACCCTAAACCCTAAACCCTAAACCCTAAACCTTCCGAGACACAAGGGGAACTTGTGAACAAAAAGCAGGCCCTTGTGAGAGAAAAAGGCGCTTCTTTCGGGAAGTGCATATATACATATACATACATTGCCTCATGCACAAACCACTAAAAACCTTTTCAACCCTAAAAATCCTCGAAACAACCTGAACCCCCCCCCCCCCCGAAAACCCCTATAAACCCTTAAAACCGTTAAAAAAAAACAAAAAACAAAAAACAAGACAACCTAAAAGCCCCCAAGACGCCTTTAAACCCTGTGAACCCTCAAAACCCAGGCACGTCTGCCTCTGCAGCCCTGGAGCTTGAGTGGTTTGGGGTTCAGGGCCGCCACGCCGGTTGGGAGTACTTGGAGGTTCATGGTACTTATTAACCCGGTAGGGTTTCGGGTTTAGGGTTGAGGGAATCATAACTGTACTTATCACCCCCCCCCAAATAGAACCATGTTCGGGCACTACAGGGCTTATAAGTGGGGTGACAAGTGCAGTGACAACTGGTTGATAAGTACCATGTACCTCCTCCAAGTAGGGTATCGGGTCGAGGGTTTCAGGTTTCGGGTTCTATTCCCTAAACCCTAAACCCTAAACCCTAAACCCTAAACCGTTTAGTGTCAAGGGTACACAAACCACCCAGAGGAACAAACACTTTCGGCATGGAGCACAGTCTTCAAAACACATGCCTGTCCTGATGAGTTTTCGGGCTTTCTGGGTACCCTAAACTGGGTACCCTAAACCCTAAACCCTAAACCCTGCAGCATGCTGAAAACTGCGGCCACGGTGCCCACAGCGACTCGCCGTGGGCCGCTTCCCATTCCCCCGGGCCCCCGCGGAAGGCCGAGAGGAAGACCTTCTCAAAGCCTCATGGTTTGGAAACCCTAGACCCACTGCCCTAAGCCCTAAGACCTAAACCCTAAGCCCTAAGCCCTAAACCCTAAACCCTACACCCTAAACCCTGAGCCGTTCAGGGTTTCGGGCTTTGGGTTTTAGAGTTTGGCTGCAGTTGTGGGGTCGAAGCGGCCACAGTGTGCATCAGTCAGGCTGACGCGAGACATGGTTCCCAATCCTGTTTAGTGTTTATGTTGTTCTTTAGGACTGCCAAGCGCTTCCGATACTCTGGGCGAACAGGCTGAACTTTAAAGTGTTGATGGTTTGGGGGCTAGAGTCCAGGGAAAAACGGCCAAGGCCCTTAACTCTCTAGCTAGACCCCAAACCCTTAACCCCGAATTCCCTAAACCCCAAACCCGACACAGAAACAAAAACTGAGACAACCATGAATGAATAAAAAAATAGATACATAAATAAATAAATATATATATATATATATATGTGTGTGTGTGTACGTTTATATGAAGTATGGATTTTACGACCAATGCCCTTACAAGGACAGCAATTCAACACATTCAATAATATTTATTGGGACCTAAATACACTCACCGGTAATACAATTTGCTTCCTATATGTAAATGTGTATAAATGTATATATGTGTATGTGTATATATGTTTGAATGTATATATATATACTCCTGTATATATATGTGTATGTATATAATATATATATATATGTGTGTGTGTGTATGTATATATATATATATATGTGCATGTGTATATGTATATATGTATGGACGTACACATGTATATGTGTGTATATATATATATATGCATAGATGCTTAGGTGTATATCTGGAAGTTTGTCTAGATGTATAGATGCATGTATAGATGTGTAGATGTATAGATGTATATGCCTATATATATATATATATATGTACATGTGTGTGTATGCATGTATGTGTGTATCCATATCTATCTATATGTATTTACATATACATATATACACACATTGTCTTCACTCTGTACCCTTTGCTAGGCCCTATACGCCCGTGGTCCCTAAGCCCAATTTTAGCTAAACCCTAAACCCTAAACCCCAAACCCTAAACCCTAAACCCTAAACCCCAAACCCCAAACCCTAAACCCTAAACCCTAAACCCTAAACCCTAAACCCTCCCTGTACAGCGCCGAAGAGCAGCGCAAGCTCTGGAGGTCGGCGTCCAGTGGGCATGACCAATGAACACGACCTGCCCATCTTCTGTCGGGTTATCGTTAGGGTTTAGGGTTTAGGGTAGAGGGTTTAGGGTTTAGGGCTTGGGGCTTGGAGTTTAGGGTTTAGGGGCCTGCAATAGGGCTTAGGGTTTGGGGTATTTAGGTTGTTCGCGGGCTTCAGGGCAATCACCTCTTCATGCCGATCTGTTTCGCCGTTGCTTAAATGTTTGGGTCCAATGCTTCCTCCCTGTCAACACTAAAGAAACCTGGCGCTAAGCACGACGGGGTTTGGGCTGTAGTGCTTTAGGCTTCGTACAGTTTTACGATCGGAAGCTTTCGCGTTTGAGTGGAGCTTCTGGAGTGTTGTTGCTGCCTAAAGAAATTCTGTAAAGTTCCAATAACTCGACAACTCAAAAAACATCAGCTTCGAATAAAAATCAGAAAACATCATAATCAACAAACTTAGTCGTTGATTTTCTCAGAAACCGAACCCTGCGCACGAAGCAAGAAAAAAACTCAAAACCTTGAAGAAAAACCCGAAAGCCCCTTGAAAGGCTAGGTCGGAAAAAGCCTCGGGGGTATCTGGGTTGGGGTAGGGGGGGGGGGGGGGGGGTTGGCGTGCGACGACGACGACGATGCCGACGACCACAACGACGACGACGACGACGACGGCTACTACGACTACTGCTACCACTGCCAGTCCGGCTACTACTACGACGACGACAACACCTACTACTGACAGGAACTCCAACAACTCCAAAGACACGAAACACAAAGGAAACAAAACAAAACAAAAATCAAAACACCTGGACAGGGTCAGGGTCGACATCAGACAGCCTCCGGCGCATAAAGCCAGCTGAAAAGCCTAAATCAGAAATATTCACAGACTCCAAAGTCTACAACAGAAATGCACGCAGGCCAGCGATTGACTTCTACGGCTTCGAATACGTTTACTAGTAAGAACACATTGGAAAGTATAGACTATCTCTGACAGTGGTATTGCGAAAACCATTTCGACACTACTTCATTTATCGTGAATCGGTCACGGTCCCCCTACAAGAAGCCACCCGTTGAGAATAAAGGCCCACCCCTCTTTGGACTCAGCTAGTCAGCTCTTTTGTTAACCTTGTCTGTGGGCTCGATGATGGGCTGCCCTGGATGCCTCCTGTTAGAATTCATGAGACAGGGGAGGGGATAACATAAAGCTTAGTTGTCCAGTAGTTGGGGGAACTAAAGGTTACCTTTGGGACTATACAGTAAGGGGATTGTACTACCCAAAAAGGTTAAAGGTTACCTTCTAAGAAAGGGAGAGAACAAGGCATAACAGAAGCGTCCGGCTGTAGAGTTTAGGGTTTAGGGTGTCGGGTTTAGGGTTGCAGTACCACCAGGCCTTTCATCACCTCAATGCCTGTGGCGCCGATCCGCTCCAGGGCTGATACGCATGCCCTGGGCGCAGAGCAGTGCAGCTTGGAATGATCCAAAAGTCTAGGGTTTAGGGTTCAGGGTTTAGGGTTTAGGGTTTCGGGTTGGAGTGGTTTATGTTGCATGAAACAAACCCTAAATCTATAAACCCTAACCTCTAAACCGCGTCAAAAGTAGTAGGGACCACAAAAAGCTAGTCCTTGTTAAAGGTTCGTGCATCCTCGAAGATTGGCTAAACCCTTGGCGAGTTACAAGTAAGGGGCTAGTTCTAAGCATTTGGGTTCACGAGGGCCCTAACCTGGGCCATGGGTAGTATAACCTGAGTTCTATACTCCCCTTCGAACCTTAATAAATATGAGTTTTTAAATATCCTCTTGGGTTATATATATAAATATAAATATATATATATATATATATAATAATAAATATGAGTTTTTAAATATCCTCTTGGGTTATATATATAAATATATATAATAAATATGAGTTTTTAAATATCCTCTTGGGTTATATATATATATAAACAAAATCCCGAGGGGGATGTTGAGTGATGAGTCCCTCGACTCTGGGTCGTGGCGCAAGGTGGCCCTTTACCTGCGAGTCCTATACATACAACCCTAAGCATCCAAACCCTAATGTGAACCCTAGACGCCGAAAAAAAAAAAAAACGAAACCCTAAACGCTAAATCCTATTTCCTAGACCCAAGAGTAACCTTCTAACTAAAAAGGTGCCCCTTTTGGGTTTAGAGCGGCTTATAAGGGACCCTAAACCGTAAAGAAAAGGAATAGGGGTCTACTCTGGGTCCTAGCCCTAAACCCTACACCCTACACCCTACACCCTAAACCCTAAACCCTAAACCCTAAACCCTGAACCCTGAACCCTGAACCCGAGCAAAGCGAGCAACACTTGGCTCGCGTCACTCTTCGTCGGGCGGCTTGTACACGGCTGGTCCGTTGCCCACGCCGGTGTCCACCTGCATGTACCAGGCATCACCCAGGGACTCCAATACCCCTTACTTCTTTAGGGTTTAGGGTTTAGGGTTTAGGTTTAGGGTTTAGGTTTAGGGTACTACGGTTCCTTACGGTTTAAGGAACGTTCCTTGATTAAGGGGTATTGGAGTCTCTGGGCAGTTGCTCCATGGTTCAGGGGTTAGGGTTGTAGTATAAGGCGCGCTGCAACGATAACCTACCAATAAGTAGGTTTCAGTTTCTTATGATGGGGTTGAAGAATGTTTTGGCGACTTCGGTACATGGCTGGTAGTCTGCCACAGCTTCTGGGGCGTCAAGAGTCGGCTCAGCAGCGAGAAAAGACGAATAGCTGAGCGGCAACCATGAGCCGAAAGGAGTTTGCAGAACCTACGTTGGGGCGGCCTAGGGAGGGGGTTTAGGGCTTAGGGGGCTTAGGGCTTAGGGCTTCGGGGTGAGGGTGCAGTGAAGAGGCAGTGCCGAAGAAGTGGCGGCTTCTCCTTGGTAGCCCAGCAACCATGTCTTGAGAAAGAGACCCTTATTGGGGGTTGAGGGGTTTGCGGTCTGGGGCTTCGGGCTCAAGGGAACCCGGAACCCAAAAACGGTTTAGGGTTTAGGGTTTAGGGTTTAGGGTTTAGGGTTTAGGGTTTAGGGTTTAGGGTGCCAATCAGCTGCCAAGTCTCTGAGGCTCCATGGAAGCGGTTCGGCCGCCGGCTCATGGGGTGGCGGAGGAAGGGTCGTAAACCCCAATACCCAATCCCTAAGGGTCCATGTACCTATATATGCAGTATATACTTGGGCCTTAAAGGGGTTCCCATATAGTAGCTTTAGGGCACAGTTTTCTACCATATGGGTACATGGACCCTTAGGGAATTGTATCCAGCAATATGTGTGTGAACTGTTCTCTTCTGGGCTCTTGTACTCGCAACATGCAAGAGCGATTCAACCCCAAGGCATCATTCGGATGAGCTAAGGATTTGACGGCTCTTATGTGTGGGGTTTAGTACTGTTCTGTGACTGCATCCTAGGCTGCATTCCTAAAAGGACCCAACTCCACCGTACTTAAAGATCCTCTGGTTCAGCATTTAGGTCTTTAGGTTTTGAGCGTTAGGGGTCAGGCTTGAGAGGGTTCAGGGTTCAGGGTTTGGGGTTCAGGGTTTGGGGTTGGGAGTTGTAGGCGCACCCGCCAGCACTATAGAGAACAGCATGAAGGCTTGCAAGTCATCTCTTGAACCGCCTGCAGGAGGGCGGTTTCGGGTTCAGAGTTTTGGGGTTGCAGCCTGCTTGTCTGCCTAAACCCTAACTGAGGTAGGGGGAGGGGCGGGGCTTTGTAACATTTCAACTTCTATGGGGTAGGTCAAGTTGTCATGCAGCCCCCTGTGTCAAAAAGTTCGCTGAGGGATGAAAGGGTGTTCTCAGCTGCGCATAAGCTGACGACCCACTGCGTTCGATATGTTGGGTTTGGAAAGGACAGGTCATGGCAGTTGCTGTTGGCAAGACCTAAACCTCTGAAGCCTGCCTGAGACCCCAAAAAAAGGGGTACCCCTTGTTTAACCCAAACAGAACAGAATCCCCTCAACGAACCCCCTCCCCCACCCCCCAAAACGGTACCCCTATTTTGGCTGCGTTAGAACCACGTATATCCCAACTCTGGGAAAAACGCAGGTCCTGTACAGCAGCCCTAGACCCTAAATCTTAAACCTTAAAACCCTACACCCTAAAACCCTAATTAAACCCCAAACCCTAGCCCCTACAAACCCTAAACCCTAAACCCTGGCACACAAGATGTACGTTGGGAATTGTGAGGGCTGCGCAGTAGAACGACAACTCGATGCGGCTGCTGGCCTGGGCGGTGGCCCAGGGCCCAGCTTCTACAGGTTTAGGGGTCTCCTAAACCCTAAACCCTAAACCCTAAACCCTAAACCCTAAACCCTAAACCCTAAACCCTAAACCCTAAACCCTAAACCCCAATCCCTCTACTGTCTGTAAGGGATATCCAACCCAGTTTGTAGTACTAATCACCCAACCTCGGGCTCTTATAAACCTGCTTGTAGCTACTGTAGGAACTTGTGGGGGCTCCCTGCACGAAATTGGTGTTTAGGGTTTAGGGTTTAGGGTTTAGGGTTTAGGGTTGTGAAGGATGTCTCCTTTGCCCTGTGAAGTTCATTCTATTTCTCTCACGCTTGTTTTTTTAATGAATTCCAGGGGTGAAAGGTGCATGGGCCAAAAGTGCCCTGTTTGTGCTAAGATTTGTAGAGGGCTTCTGGGGTATTTTGCTCACTCAGCTACTTCGTGCGTTCGCTTCGCTCCCTGCAAACAGTTTACCATAATGAGTGAGCGAAAAGTAGGGCCTTAATAAGACTCAAAAGACTCAGCCATGCATGAAGTGGCAACACTTGTCCCCAAGCATCATGAGACTTACTCCCGTTCCTAAACCCTAAACCCTAAACCCTAAACCCTAGACCCTAAACCCTAAACCCTAAACCCTAAACCCTAAACCGTGAAATCAAAAAGCCCGGGCCCGAATTTCGCCCCTTTTATCGTCTCACCCGATGTGGGGGTCGGGTTGGGGGAGGGGGAGTTCTGGTTTAGGGTCCAGGGTCTATGGTTTAGGGATTCGGGGATACAGCACAGGATAATTCAAAACGACACCAACACGACGTACTAGAACTCGCCCGAAGTTTCTCCATCTCCACGTTGGCCTAGACCCAGAAACCCCAAAACCCCTAAACTCTAAGCCTAAGCCCGAAAACTCCAAAACCCCAAACCGCTGCTAACACTAAACCCAACCCCAAAGCTCGTCTAAACCCAAAGCACAAACCCTGAACCCAAACACACAACGCCCTAAACCCCTAAACCCAGAACACGAAACCCAAAACAATGCAAAAAAAACCGTAAAGCCCAAAACCCAAACCACTGAGCCCCCAAAACCCCAAACCCCAAACCCAAAACATTAAACCGCAAACCTAGACCACAAAACACAAAACCCCTAAAACCCCAAACCCAAAACACAAACACTGAGCCCTTAAACCCCTAAACCCTCCATCGCCAGAGCGAGGTCTGGGGATCCCCTGCCAGGCAGAAAAGGAGTGCCCCGGCGGCTGCCAGCGAGAGGATCGGCAGCAACTGACAAGGGCGGGGAAGGTTCAGGGTTGAGGGTTGAGGGTTGAGGATTGAGGGTTTTGGGTTTTTGGGTTGAGGGTCCAGGGTTTCGGGTCAGGACCCCACAACCTCTTTAAAGGACAGAACATCTTTGTACCAAGCGTACAGATCCGAGAAACTAAGGTAAGAACAGCAAAGGAACTAACATGCTGCAAGCTAGCAAGCGAGGCATACTCCTGAAATCAGGAGAAGAAGAAGCCCAAAATCATTTAAGAGCCCGATACCCCTAAACCCTAAACGAAACCCTTTCGTGGCTTTGGGAGGTGGGCACAGACTCCCAGGTACATGCCAGGAAAGCCAACATCTTTGAGAGCGAGAGATGAACCAGCTTTTGCATGAATGTTTGTACTTATTTAGGGTTTTTAGGGTTTAGGGTTTCGAGTTCACTTGGAGGTTCAGGGTACTTATTAACCCAAAAACAACTGTACTTATGTCCCAAGTATAACCATATTAGGGCACTTATGGGCTTATAAGTGGGTTATAGGTACAGTCATAATTGGCTAAAAAGTACCATGAACCTCCAAGTAGGGTTTAGGGTTTATAGGGTTTGGGGTTTAGGGTTTAGGGCTACCCGCATATTTGACCCAAGAGTAACCTAGGAATGAAAAGGATGCCTGTTTTGGCTTGGGCCTGCTCTGGGTCCTAGTCTTTGTTATTTGGAAACTGTATTTAGTTAGCTAAGATTGATGTGACTTTATTCACATTTGCTGATGTTTGCTTGTGAAAGAAGACCTCTACACACGCATCTACAACACTTAGGCCACATGGTCTTGAGCTTCGGGAAGAAGGTCATGATGGGGCTCCTGCTCGTCAATTCAGGGGCTTAGGGTTTAGAGTTCAGAGACTCTCCTAGAATACAGTTGCCTCTTCGCTGCTGCGCACCCTTTTGGCTACCTAGCCTCAGCACAAAAAAAATTGCTCAACCCTGAAACCATGAGGTCGGCAATCCCCGCAACTCTCACTAAACTCCACACCCTAAACCCGAACCCCTAAGGCCCTCAACCGTAAACTCTAACCCTGAACCCCAAACTCTTGCCCGAAAGCCCTAAACCCCAAAACTCCCGGCCTCTGAAAAGATGCGAAGGCGACCTGACCTACGACAGGCCACCACCAATGCGGCCTCAGAGCATCACTGAGCGCTTCTTTCTTTTTCTTAAGGGTAGTTACATGGTCCCTTAATCTGGTCCCTTAAGGGGACGCCTTATATACCCCCGATATACCCTACACAACCCAAGGGCCCATACTTCAGAACCCTTACAGTCGTAGTTGTCCAGTATCCTAGGGGGCTAAAGGTTAGCCTTTGGAAGTATTTGCGGGTTATACCCCGGAAAAGGTTAAAGCGTGCCGTAAACTCTAAACCCTAAACCCTGCTAACGCAAGAAGGTTAAAGGTAACCTACTCTACTGCTGTGGCATGGCATGTCATCGGGGGGGGGGGGGGGGGGGGGGTCTTGGGTTTAGTTAGGGTACGGTTTGGGGTCACAGGCTTGGACAGAAGAACCAAAATAAATAAATACTTATATATATATATATATGTGTATAATATGTACATACATATGAATATATATATATATATATACGCAGACATATAAATTCTATATCAATAAACATATACATATATATATATATATATGTGTATTGTCTGAACCCGAAACCCGCCCATCCTACACCACTACACGAAACGAGGCCCGGGCCGCCGCCAGGTAAGTGGCGCCAAGGAGGTAGCCATTGTGGTTCTCCTGCAGTGATCTCTACCGACCTAGTACCCTCGGATTACGATTGGGCTCCTAACGAATCCTAAACCCTAAACCCTAAACCCTAAACCCTAAACCCTAAACCCTAAACCCTAAACCCTAAACCCTAAACCCTAAACCCTAAACCCTAAACCCTAAACCCTAAACCTAAACCCTAAATCCTAAACCCTAAACCCCCTTAGAAAGGACAAAAACTCCAAGTTGGTATCCAGTTTTCGCAGGGGAGTCGAAACAGGCATCGGCGCACCACAACTTTGCTTCGGGCTGCCTGAAAGGCTCTGATGTAGTTCCTTTCCCGGTGGTTCGAACTCGTGTTCCCTATGGAGAACGCCGCCAAAAGGAACCACAACCAGAGCCTTTTTTGACCGAATTTGGGGATCGAATTGCGCCCTCAGCCCTTAGGATTCGGGCCGTAAAACTAAACCCACACCCCCAGCACTAAGCCCTACACCCTGAACCCTAAACCCTAAACCCTGGGGGGATCCCATAAGCTTCTTTTCGTTGCTTTGCATCGGAAAACGACCCTCCTGGTTTAGGGCTTACGAGGGACAGGGCTTAGGACTTCGGATGGAGGGCTTAGGATTTGGCAAGTGCTGAGGGTCGAGGGGTGACTAAACCCTAAACCCTAAACCCTAAACCCTAAACCCTAAACCCTAAACCCTAAACCCTAAACCCTAAACCCTAAACCCTAAACCCTAAACCCTAAACCCTAAACCCGGGTTCGGGATTGAGAGCTTGGTCCGCAGGTGCCCTGCAGCTCCTCCTCCCGAAGAACCAAA